TGCCAAACTGTGTTCTTAGAGGAAATAGTTCACTTTTCTAGGAACTCCTAATTTCCTGCATGTAGTTTATCTAAGACATTGTCATGTGTTTCCATGGCAGGGCCACCTCCAAAGAAAATTGATGCTACATTAAAAAGTACCTTTATGTGTCTAAACATTCTTCATAGTTATTTGATCTGCTTCATATACCTGTATCTTCAAAATAATTTATTTTAACTTATATTTGAAGAATTTGGTGATAGTAATAAAATCTAAGATGACTTTGACTTCCAGATCACTGCTTGAGCTAGGTATATTAGAGAAAACTTTGTGTGAACTGATCCAAACAAGTTACAGTTTTGTAGATTTGCAAAGAATGTTTTGTATCAAATCTAAGTATGGAAGAACTCTAGACTTCTTAGAAATTATGTGTCTTTTTCTAATAAAGGGAGTAAATCATGTGATCTGTATGGCACTTACCACTGACTTAATTCCTGGGATTTAATCCAAAGTTTTGTAGGAATTTGTGGTGGTTTGGGTGGATTCACCCTTTTTGCTTGCAGCTTGCAGCCAAACACAGCCTGCTCTCACCCTTTCCCCCCCCACCCCACCCTTGCCCAGGGAGTAGGGGAGAGAACTGGAAGGAAAAGGGCAAGGAAACTCACGGGTTGAGATAAAAACTATTTACTAATTAAAATAAAATTATAATTATAACAACAGTAATAACAGAATATACAAATGAGCGATACATAGTGCAGTTGCTCACCACCCACTGACCAATGCCCAGCCTGTGCCAGCCAGCGATCCTGGAGCCGAGACAGTCCCGAAACCAAAACCCCAGAAGAGCGAGCCCAAGCGATCCCCGAGAGAATACTCCGTCTTCCGGTCAGCCCTGGTTGATATACTGACATGATGTGATATGATCTGGAATATTTCATTGGCACATCCAAATGCCAGTTTTGGGTTTTGCTTCAGCAGCAACTAATCACATTAGTACTTTTATCAACGTTCTTCTCATAACAAGTCTGAACTGAAACTGAACCACAGCTATTCTAACTACTAAAAGGAAAATTAAGTCTATCCCAGCAAAACCAGGACAGAATTCTTGTTTCTGCAGAAAGTATGACTCCAGAATCTAAGAACTCTTCCCTAATTTCCTCTTTGTTCCTGTGCCAATTTGAGATTTGTCTATTTTAAAAGCTTTCTTACTCTGTCTAAAGGAAAAAATGATAACAATAGTTGCCATAAATAGATAGAAATGAATGCAAGCTAAATAAAGCTGTTAAATATGGAAGAGCTGAAGAATGGAATCCACTGCTGAGTGGACTGTTAATGGATACCTACAAATGAGACAGCGCATGGATATGGCAGTTGCTCTCAGGCTATCACTGTTAAAAAAAAATCCCCATGAAATTTCAAGTGAAAAGACAGAAGAATGTTGATTATGGCATTTGTCATGGAAAGGAATGTAGATGTGATCAGTTTTAATCAAGGATGTCAGTGGAATTCATAGATGTATTCAAATACAGGATTCACTATCCCTTTAGTACAAATACCCTTTACAGCTCTGTGCTCCAAAAATGCCATAGGTTGGTTGTCTTAATAGGTCACCTGTAATGACTGAAAAAAAATGGACCTGTTAAGCTTTTTCTCAACAAGGAAATCTTTACTTCTACTTGGGCAACTAAGATGATTAAAGGACTGGAGCATATTTCATATGAGGAAAGGCTGAGGGAGCTGGGCCTGTTCAGCTTGGAGAAAAGATGACTCAGAGGGGATCTGATTAATGTTTATAAATATCTAAAGGAAGAGTGTCTAGAGAATGGGGCCGGACTCTTCTCATTGGCACCCAGCAATAGGACGAGAAGCAACGGGCATAAACTGCAGCATGGGAAGTTCCACCTGAACATAAGGAAGAACTTCTTTACTGTGAGGGTGACTGAGCACTGGAACAGGTTGCTTAGAGAGGCTGTGGAGTCTCCCTCCTTGGAGATAATAAAAAAATTCAGAGGTCCCTTCCAACCTCAACCATTCTGTGATTCTGTGATACTTCGCTCCCAGGAAGTTCAGTTGATGTGGTAACAGCTTCCTTAGATAAGGCATCTGGAAGACAATACTGTAAAAAAATGTTTCTACAAGGCTCTTTTTTTTCTTTTCTTTTTTTTTAATTGGTGGCAGGTAAGCTCAGATAGGAAAAATTTGGAGCTGTCTAAAAACAAAGTAACATGATCAGTAATAGCAGAGGGAGATTTTATTTGAAAAAATACAGTGAATCATTCAGGAAGTTGCTATTATTGCCTGTAATATTTTTCTTCTACTACATGAGCCATTGTGAGATGCATAAAGGGCTCTGAAACAGTTTCAGAAGTTTTGCAAATGTTCAAAAGTCTATAAATTCTACTCTGTATTGGGCAAACTTGATTTGAGCTACTAGAGCCATCATTCGTGCTGTTAGTGACATAATAGGATTAATTTATTGTTGTGTGGCATTGTAATACCACTATTAAATAGTGACCAGCTGCCTTACTAAAAGGTATTTAACTGTGTCGTAAAATCTAACAGAGTTACATATGCTCTGAAGTTGGATTTATACAAACTACACTTTAAGGCAAGAGATTGTAAAATGACTTAGATATCCTTGCTGGGATAAAGAATTCAGAATTCATTTAATGATAAGCTAATATATAGAAACAATATTCATGCTTTCTTTCCCCCCACCCCTGCCAGGTGATTCTCAGATAATTTAGATCATTTTAGGGCAAATAATTTCATAGGAATGTCATGAGGATTTCATAAGGATGGCAGTGACTTTAACATTCAAAAGTAATTGAGTTAGTATGCAATTAAATTCCTCATACAGACTTTTCTCCCCCAGGACTGGAACAGGTCAGATTGTTAGTTTTTGTAAACTGGATGAGATTACTTAGATTCCATATGCCATTTCTCACTTCTTTTTTTAAAAATTTTTTATTTCCTTGTAAGCAGCTGGAATGTTTTTGTGCTAGTTATTAAGTAGAAATTGAAGTTGTTGCCATAGGAATAAAAGCCTTATTTCATCCTAGTTTTCATATTTTTCATTATTCTCAGAAGAATGGAAATATTTAACTTAGTAGAACTGAATCTAGTCCTTCCTTTTTAACATTCAGACCAGAGGCTGAAGACAGTAAGCATTTAGTTTAATCTTCTGAAACTTGGGATATACTGAGTTTGTATTTCTGGGTATTTCTGCATCTTTTTGGAAATTTACCTCTATTTTTATTATCTTGGCAGTGATGCTATATTATTCTTACTTGAATGACTTGCCAATCTTCAGAACTACTAAGAAGACTTCAGTCCTTTTTTTGAAAAGTTTAGTTTCTCCTGAAATATCACAGTTCCAAAGCTTTTTGAGCTATTCTTTTTATAATTGCATAGTACTGTGAAATTTCTGCAACTACAGTGTTATACTTCATTTCAGGGTAATGCTCAGTATGGAATATGATATACGTACGAGATTTAAGACAGCAACACAATTTTCTGTCCTGCCTGAACACAAAATGTGTTCCAAGCACTATCTAAACTTCGTGATAACGTGCAATATCTAAGATTTATGGAATATCCTCTGAGAAACTGTTCGTGTTCAAGAACATCCTAGAAAATACTCTCAACCTTAACTAACCCTGGTTCAGCTCTCATCGTTCCACTCTAGCAGATATTGATTATATGGGCTGTTGAATCCTTTTTAAAGATGTTGCTACATAATCCTGCTGGATTTAATAGATAGGGTTACTGACGGTAATGCCAGCTCCCGGCGTACTTAAATGATAGCTCTCAGTGTAGTGTCTTTTGGTGGATAAGAAGAAATTATATATATAGGTGAGGAGAGACTGAAGTGTTTTATCTTAATAGGGTAATAATTTTGTATTGCTGTTATCTTTATGTGTATATCAAACCAGACTTTTCAATGTATTGTGCAAAATGTTTTAAAATATAAAGAATTGTCATGAGTCTGGGGCAGACAGACAGATCACTAATATGCCTGTTAAGTACAAGTCAGAGGAGAGGAAGATAATTCAAGTTTCTTACATTCAGTGTTAGAGGAAATAAAAAGAATTATTGATTGGCAGGCTAAGACAGTGTAAAAGAAAGCAAATGTAGCAGTTCTGGCAGTTCTTTCTATATAGAATGATTAATTAAGGGGGTAGCATGGTCTGGATATCTATCTTAGGCAAAGTAATAATACCACAGTTTGATTTTTTTTTAAAATTGTAAATATATAGTAATCATGACTATTATAAATTATATAATTATTTTTGTAACATTTTATTTGAAGGAAAGAAGGATGGGAAAATATATTATGCGATTATAAAACATCAATTTGCTTATGAACATACAGTATCTACATACAGAGAGGAAATGCTGCTATTCAGAAACTAGAAAAGAAAAAAATATTTTTAATTGCTGCCTGTAGTGTAGCCCCTGCTATTTATTGTCACAGCTTTGAGACTTACCTGTGGCTTTCCTTGCTTCTGTAATTTCTCAAAAAAATTGATTGGTGTGCTAGTTCAGAAAATAATTTGTGAAAATATTGCTACCGTATTTCGATAAATGATTAGTTATCTGCTCATACCACATAATATTGTGTATTTTAGCAAAGTGGAAGAAATCATTATGGCTTAGATCCTGTCAGAATTTAAAATCTCAAACTTCATACAGTTAAAACAAAGAAATAATTTCATTATTTGAGAAAAAAGAGAAATAGTTTGCCATATAGCTTTTTTGAGGGATGACGTAAACAGAACTTGATGCCTGTGGAGAACAAAAACTGACACAAATAGATGGTTTAAAAAACTACGACATATGTCACTTTGTGGTGCCTACTTGGGTTTCCACTGAGAACTTGTAGAAACACAGTAAATTAAAATAAAACAAAAAGTCTCAAATGATACTTGTTGTGGCTCCATCCTCACTTTGTAGATACCAAGTTAAGTAGTCAGAGGTTTTATTTCTGAGAATCTTTTTCTTTTTCCATTCTTTGACAGCCGCGAGCTGTTGCTGGTTTTCGAGGAACAGTACGATATGCATCAATCAATGCTCACAGAAACAGAGTGAGTGTCTCATTCTATATCATATCCATCTCGTGTAGCTGAAAGCAGTCAGTAATGCAGTTGCTATTGATTTCCTTTTTTGTTTTCTTATGTGTGTATTTATTATGTAGAAATTAATACTTAGAAATTTTTGGGAAAGGATAATATACTTTACAGTAGTCAAGGGTGAAAAAGTTCTTGTTGTAGAAACAATAGTAGTTTTAATAGTTACCTTTAACATGCAATTGTATTGTAAGTTAATAAATTAAAAAGGTGAAGTTACTGAGTTTTATAAAATACATAATGCCCAGTATGTTGTCTTAACATCATACACTAAAGAAATCTGAATAAACAGCTCTTCCAGTACAGAATTTGCAATGTTATTTTAACACATTTCAACTTCTGTTTTGTATCTGTGTATCTTCTGTGTAAATTTACTTGTATGTTTCTACTTAAAGAGTTGCTGGAGTTAATTATACAAATTTGTTTTGCACTGTTGATTATATTAATTTTTATATATATAATACTTTTTGTCTTATAGGTATTTATAAAATGCATTAGAGTAATATTTCTTTTTCACAGGAAATGGGTCGGCATGATGACCTCTGGTCCCTGTTCTACATGTTGGTGGAATTTGTGGTTGGGCAACTACCTTGGAGAAAAATAAAAGATAAGGTAAACCTAGAAGTGAAACCAAAGAGCACGGGGGAGATTTACTTCTGGATTACAAGCGAATGCTATGATAAGGATTCCACTAAGAATCATTGGTTCATTTATTTTAACTTTACATTTTCCAGTGTTTTCTAGTGTTAGTTCTCATTGCTAGTGTCATGGTATAAAAACAATCAAGTTTTACACTGTTACAGGCAGGAGGTGGATTGTGCTTCTAGTTTACAAATATTTTAAAAGGCAAAAGTAAGTGTATCTTGTCATTTGTTTCATTTTCCTGTTTTCACTTCAGCAGTTTTTGATTTTACCTATCACACATTTAGCATTTTTAATATATTTTGATTTTTTGTGAAATGGGAATTTCTTACTTACTGGTGAACAAAAGTGAATCAGTCAATATGCAGTAGTTAGTGCCTTGAGACTTGGGTCTTTGCATACCTCATCATGGGTGAGGTATGCAAAGAAATGTCGTCTAAGTAGCTTATTATTACTTCTTTCAACATTTGAAATAGATTGAAACAATCTATAATATGATTTATGCATTGGTAGATGACAATGTGGTATATAGGTAGGATCTCTTTTTTGGTTTTGATTTACTCATCTTACACTAAATAGGATTTACTAATCTTATACAATATACTGTCAAGACCAAATATACACCAAAAAGTGACTGAACATCAGATGATGCAACAGTATATGTAAATCTTTAAAACATACTTTTTAGAAGGGTTGGAGTGTCTAATGACAGTCCTTGATATCAGGCAGCATTCAAACACAGCAAAAAATTAAATGGCTTTTCATATTGAGTTTGAAGTTTGTACATTGTTTTGCACGTGTACTGAAGGCAATGAAGGAATCTCTTCTCTTGCTATCTGATATAGAATGGCCTTCCTCAGTACTATTCAGAGTAATGTACTTACCCATCTTCCTGGCCAGCAGTGTATTGAATGGCTGTAAGATACAAGGTGAATATGTTGTAGCAGAGAATGAAAATGTGTTAATGATGTTTGTTGTATTATTTACTCCTAGGAGCAAGTGGGCTCCATTAAAGAAAGGTACGAGCACAGACTTATGTTGAAACATCTTCCTCAAGAATTCAACATCTTTCTGGATCACATTTCTAATTTAGATTACTTTACAAAGCCTGATTACCAGGTAAACATTTTTACTATTTCATCTTTCTGATTTTTAAATAGCAGAATTTTATGCTGTTTCATCTTCAATTTCTTTTGAGTTCATTAGGTAGTGATTATGGATTGTGCCCCCACAAAGTTATTTTAATGATGATCTAGTGCCATAGAAACTTGGTGGTTCAAAGATGTCATGTTTTTAAATTTGGGAAGAGTAAGGCAGTTAAGTTGCTAAAAACAATTGACAGTTGCTTTGCAGTCAATATTCTGTTGGGATCGGGTGCTGTCCTACTATCGTAGCCTCTGTTGGGTGCTCCTTAAGTTAAATCAATCAGATTGTTTCCTCAGTGATACTCATTCTGGCAGTTTTCCAAAATCTGGAGCTCAGCCACCTACGAATATACATCTAGAGCACAACATGCAGCCATGGTGTTTTTCTAAGACCGAAGTATTGCCTACAGAGATCATGAGAAAACTAGTGATTTTTCTTTGCTTAAGAAAGTATTGCCTGCTGAAGTGGATAGCCTCAGCTCAGTGATAAAGTGATACGTGCCAAGAGTATATGCTGTAGAATATGTATCTATTCACTCAGTACTGAAGATGATTTAACAAAAAATAAAACTCAAAGACAGAACTTTGTTCTATACCAATATGTGGAAAGCAGTAGAGGAATGCTCAGGAAAAGCAGGGAAGAAAGACTGAGTTTTTTCAGTGTCACAAACTATGTGGGAAGTTGAAGTGATCTAACATCACACCACGACAAGTTGTCCCTGTGTGCCTTCCCTCTGGTTCCCAGAAACACACATTCCTGTCAGCTTCCCACTTGTGTTACCTGTCTGCCCCTGTGCATTTGTTCGACTCACTAACTCAGCAAAACCAGAAGGAATGGTTTTCTGACGGTGCGCAAGCTGAATTGGTACGACTGAGTAAATAAATCATTCTGACTAACTCTGGAATTATAATTTTGGTAGGAATGACTCCTGTGCTTTACCTGGTGAGATTAACAGAGAAATCGAGATAGATAAAATTCGAAATAGGAACTGAAAATCTTAAGGGTTAACTAATTTTTGGAAAAAAAAATCAAAAAGTCTTTTTACAAATACAGAAAATGTTTAGTGTTCCTGAAAAGTAAATACCTTGAGTTTTTTCCTTTTCTGTTACAAATTTCCATGGAATTTATCCTATAGTTTACAATTAAGTGAGGAAAATTATTAAAAAATTTTGACTGTTTTGTGTGCCTAGTTGTAAAGATCAATCAGATTTTTTTTTCTTCTATTGTAAAAATTAATGGTTGCAGAAATTTTGATGTTGCATAGAAAAATCTTGATTGTAGACTGGTAAATATGGTTTATTTACATTATATATACTGAATTAAAACATATACATAGGCATATTTTTGCAAAATGTTTTCCTGTGGTTTACTTGTATCTAACAGAGCACATGCACTCAGGGGTTAATGTGATACCGGGACAGAGTTTCTTCATGATAGAGACAGCCCAGTAATTTATAGTCCTCTGGTTGGTCATGGAACATTTGCAGTTGTGTAGCTGCAGCCTGAGTCTTCCGACATGGTCTTGCTCATGTGCTTTAGACCAGAGCAGGGTGGTTTTATTGAGAGCAGGGAGAAAGTGCTTTACTTTCAATGGTCATTTAAGCTCTGGTCTCCCTTAACTAGTATTTGTTGTAGCAATGCTATTCATACCTTCGATACATATCATTCTTTGTTTGCATTTATGGCTAGGCACTGAACAAGAATGTACATGGTCAAGATCTCTGCTTTGAAGAGTTTACAGTCTAAAAAGTTCATGACATAGGCCTAGAATCCACGTTTGATTTGGCGATGTCAGATATGTTGATTTTATTCAGGTATTTATGCACACATTGCCTCAGCCTCCTGACATCGTTAAGCATTTGAGTTTGTATTTGCATTATAGCAGAAACTGTAGAAAAGATTTAAAGGAGAGGGACCTTAAAAATTACTTCGGAGGGACTGCTTAAGGTTTACATGAAGAGAAGAATTTAGGAAAGTACATATGGGACAGGGAGTGACCTATTGCTTTATGCCACTAGGGTTTCCGAACTGACTGGAATAGATGGCACACCAAAGGTTCTTGAGAATAAGGATAAAATAGATACAACCACTTTATACAAGAAAAATGATCCAAACTTCCTATCTGTTTTAGGTTGCCAAAGGGTATGTGTATTTAAAGGAGGCCAGATAAAAATTTTAGCCTCCTAGACTGGAAGAAAGAGTGAAAAATAAGAATTTTATCTTTAGGGGAGGGGAAGATTAATTTTAGAAACGTTACAGAGTAAGAGATGATGTGATATGGACACACCCTTCCCACCAGTGACTACAGTGAGACAGTTTACACAGGGAAAGTAGATGCAATTTCTTTCTCTGTCATGGACACAAATTGGTCTAGATGCTTTTTCGTAGCATAAGATGAGGGTGTAAATCTTGCAGTGTGACATTTCTGAGGGATGAATGTCAGCATTAGATAAATGATTCATGGTTCTAAATGACAGAAATGTATGAATTAGCAAATCAGTATTCTTCCCTATGTACTCATTCATTTTCTTGGTTTCTAATGGTGTTACCAAATATATTCTTTTCTCTTCCTCTGCTGGAGAACCATTGGATGCTGTTCTGCAGCAATGTAGTCAGGCCTCTGTGGGGGTGTGTGTATGTGTGTGTGTCTTTCTGTCTTTTTATGGATGCCTGTGATGTATCTTTGCCTCTCTTTACTGATACAAACACAGATGGTGTTTGGGGTTTTTTTGTTTGGTTATTTTGGTTTTGTTCTTGGTTTTGTTTTTTTTTTTTTAACAGAATTTTGCATAGCTTGACTTTGAAACCTTGGAAAATGAGAAATGGTCAATATGAAGAAATGTGTCCCTTTTTTTGGAAAATTGTTGTCAGTCAAAATCTTAAAGAAGAGACATATGAAAGTATTACAGGAGGATATTTCTTAATTGCTTGGTCTCTTAGACAAAAATGAAGCTTATTAACTTTTTTCTTCATTTTTAGCTTCTCATGTCTGTGTTTGACAACAGCATGAAAACATTTGGGGTTATTGAAAGTGACCCTTTTGACTGGGAGAAGAGCGGAACTGATGGCTCTCTGACAACGACGACAACTTCAACTACACCTCAGTTACACACTCGTCTTACTCCAGCTGCCATTGGGTATGTATGCACATTGTGGTCACTTGTGGATGTTGAATAAATAGAGGAGTGGAGGGTTAGGAGCATTTGAAGTATTTCCCTTTTTAGTGTTCCCGTCTATACTATCCTGAAAGATCAGCACTGCAGTCCTAAATTTATAGCAATAAAAAACAGCAGCTCAGGAAATTGCATGTAAATTTGCTAATCTGTTCTTTGCTAAATCATATTTTGTGAAACTAACTCATGAGTCCTGAGTTTAACTGCCTGTAAATAAACCCGTTGTTTCCTGTAAGCTCGGAATAAACTACTACCTGCACTTTCCTTATACATTCAAAAAATTAATGGATCTTTCTAGGAAATTTGGGAATAGATTATGGTCTTGTTTAAAATAATATTTAATATGGTCTTTGAGACCTTCTGTAATTAAGTAAGTTGAACGAGATGTGATGCTTAATTATACCCATACTCATCTAAGAGGACTGGAGAGTATAAGAGGTGTTCATGGGTGAGGAGGAAGACTTTGTGCCAGTTCTAGACCTTGAATAGATCAGCTTTTTATCTAAGAGTCACAAAGGTTGCGAGTTGGGGGTTTTGACAGTGTAGTAAGGCTGAAAACGCCAGAATTTAATGGAGAATGTATTAAATTCCCAGTATTTCAAGGTAATTTTTTAAAAAAGTGTTAAAAAAAATGTCAGTCAAGACATTAACTAGTGTTAATATTACACAGGTGTACAGTGTGTACTACTGAACACTCTGAAGTTGACATAGATTTTGCATATGATTCAGTCCCATTATCACAGTAAGCATCACACTGGAGTTATTGGCAGTCTTGGCTGCAGTTAACAGTTTTGGAGACTATAAATGAATGACTTTTGATTGACTTTCTGACTATTCACTTTTTAGGAATAGCATTGCTTCAGGTTCAGATACTGAGCTAAGCCTTAGCCCTATTTAGCCCCAAGTCAGTGGAACTACAGAACTTTAATTAAACTGTAATGTCTTTTTAGCATCATGCTTGTGTTTTCATTCAAATTATTTCATTTTGGTCAATAATTGGACCAAAATAACACTTTGATAAAAACAGTGATTACAACTGCATTTAGTTTGCTGGGTAATCTCTCTTCCTCATACGGTATGATTTGTTATTCTACCAAATTTTGAGGAAAAGGAAACCATATTGTGAAAGTTACCGTTAATTTTTTTGAATAGAAAAATATGTGTAGAAGAGTCAGGAGCGAAGTTGAGCCTGGACATGATCTCTAACAAATTTTCTCCAAGGTTGCTCTGAAAACATTAAAAAATCTAGCTTTTAAGTGATTATATTTTGATTTACACCTTTTGTTATGTGCATAAACTAAAGAGAAATAAATTGTGAAAGCCAAGAAGTAGGATTTTTAATTTACAAGATTTATTTTTCTACAGAAGCATGATTTTGCTTGTAATTTTTTGTTTGTTTCTTTTCATAGAGTAGAAAATAAAATTTAGAGTAGAAAATCATTTGAAGAAATGTGTTAGTCTACAGATTTTTACCTTTCTGATTGTTTTTTTAAACTACTTCTGTAGAATTGCCAATGCCACTCCTATCCCAGGAGATTTGCTGCGAGAAAACACAGATGAAGTGTTTCCTGATGAACAGCTCAGTGATGGAGAGAATGGTATTCCAGTTGGTGTCTCACCAGAGAAACTACCAGGATCCCCTGGGCATCAGCGTCCTCAGGAAAAAGACGTTTGGGAAGAAATGGATGCAAATAGAAACAAAATAAAACTGGGGATCTGTAAGGTACTTACAAGTATCTGCATTGTGAAGACCACCTTTGAACAGTTTCCTGTCCTCATAGTGCACATAAGATATAATTACTAATGCAGTCTTACCAATATTGATTAGTTAGAATGGTCTAAGAAAACAAGATTTATGGCAGAGCTAGCACATTTTATCAGTGATTTATATACTGAAACAAGCAGACAAGGTTTTGGGCCTTGTGTCACTTTATCAGGTCTTTATGATGAATAGTAGTAGATTGTTGATAATTTGAGATTTTTTGTAGTTAATTCATATTCATGCTTTTCAGACATGATTTTGATTCTTGCTCACTGAATGAAACCAAAGCAAATTTCCTGCATCTTGCATGTGTAGAAGTTAGATACTGAATATACAAAAAACAGTTTAATGTTGTTCTTCAATTGACAGATTGGCAGTGTGATTGGCAGTATCCATTTAATTCACTTGATGTTTTTGTCTCTGTGAGATAGGATACCTTTGTACTGATCTTGGTACATGGGCTAGTCTTTAGAATACAATGTTGCTTAATTTTGAAAAGTGGTCTTTGAGAAGTGGTTCCTGTCTCCTTTGCTCACCAGTCAGAATATTTCATACTTGGACAAATGTAGCCCTGTTGCTTGATATAAAAATTTTTTGAACATGAAGAGGGATCTCGTACTGAAATGCTATTTAGCTAGGAGAGCTGTCTAGTTTTGAGGCTATAGTTGTTTACTTAAGAAACATATAGGAAAGAATAAGGCATGGTGCCTATTTTCACATGTGCTTATTTGTTTGTTTGTTTTTTGCCAAGGAGGGAGAAAGGAGATTGTTCTGGTTTAAACAAAGGCAACTTCTATTAGTTGCACCTGTTGAGACTAAGGATGATCATGATATCCCAGCTCTAAATCATGTCCTATTAGTATACAAGATGGAATGTGGTTGGACTAAAACATAGTTCTAAGTCACAGGAATACCTGGTTGATTTAGTATATAACTGTTACATGCTCCAGAGAATCATAAAGACAGCTTGGAAGCTAACTTCTCTTTAATAGGAGCACGTGCCTGTAAAGCAGACTGAAGATGGCTACCAAGCACTGGATTTCAGGTTATTATTAAAGAAAATTTCAGAGATGGGTGTGAAATATCAGAGTAAATTTAAGTGTATTACTCGATTTTTTAGACTTCTGCTCTCAGACCTACCCAGCACTAGTATATTACTAATATTTTGTTCGTTATAGGTCTGTGCTGAAGAGCATATCTAAACTACCTTAACTATGGTGTGAACTTAAGGACCATTCCAAACACAAATTGGCTTATCACAGCCTAAAAACCTGGGTGATATTCACCATGTAGTACCTTGTCTCCCTCTGTTTTGTTGCTCCTAGTGAGTTATGTTTTTACTTTACTTTCTGCACAGGCTGCCACAGAGGAAGAAAACAGCCATGGGCCAGTGAATGGAATGCTTAATGCACCGAGTCTCGGTTCTCCAATTCGTGTTCGCTCAGAGACCACCCAGCTAGACAGAGACGTCCCACTGGTGCGAAAGTTACGTTCAATTCACAGCTTTGAACTGGAGAAGCGTCTGACGTTGGAATCAAAGCCAGACACTGATAAATTTATTGAGACCTGGTAAAGAAATTATTTTATTCTTATGCTTAGGTCTTTTCAGAATATGTAGTTATACTATCATCTTTCCTCTGCCATGTGAAACCCAGGAATGGAGCTGCTGAGTTATACTTATGCAAGCTACAGCAAAGTACTTACTATGTTCCTAATATCGCTTCATTAATGGGTTTCACTACTTGGCAGCTTCTTTAAAACAGATTAGTACTAGTGTAAAGTTAAAGTCCCATTTCAGAATTTTTCATTTCAAGAGCTAGTGGTGTAGCCCTTATGTTTATTAATTTTTTCTTCAGTGGGATACTCTTGACAGTACATCTGAACAACTAAATGAGAATGATTATATCAGGTACTCAATAGAGGTAACATGGGATTAGATTATATGACATGAGAAGAAGTGGAGTTTTGAAGTAAACTTAGAAATCTACCTGTGAGCAGCAGGTTTAGTTATGCCTAAAGGTGTTGCACCAACATAAAAAAAAATCTCAATAGAAGACAGAGGTCTTAAAATAGAATTTAATGGTAGAGAAGAAACAAAGGTATGAGAACAGATGCAATCAATTTGCCTATGTGTAGAAAGAATAAGGGGGGAAGGACACAGAGAAATCTGACTGAAAGGCAGAGGCTGAGTGGGGAGAATAGAAGACAGCTGACATGCTGACAGTGGCAAAATCCTTCTAAATAAGTCATAGGGGAGTTAGAAATTTGAATTTTTTCATGGAGCAAGTTATGCAAAGCATAAATAAGGAATCAATCAAATAACAAGCAATAACATTCTTCTTGAAAGCATCTACTAACTACTGCTGGAGACATATTTCTTCTGCTTTGAGTCTCTGCTTTGTAGCATAAATTAAGCATGGTAAACATCTGGTGGTAGCCTCACCAATGAGCTGGTATCCATTCACTATTCTCCCTTCTGGTAATTACATTTACAATACAATATGATACATTACAATTACAGTATGTGCAAATTTCTAAGACCATCTGCCCATTTTTACTTGGTATCAGAGTTATTTGTCTTAAATGATGGATCTTTCAACCATTGTAGATTGTTCTAAAATATGACAACAAGTTTTTATATAAATCTAGTTTTCCTCTACTGAAAAAACTCAAATGTAGGTTACATTTTTAAATTAATTCATAACTAATTCAGATATTAACTTTTTTTCTTAAGTTTGGAGAAGATGCAGAAAGACTTGAATGCTACGGCAGAGAATCCTGTTGCTGCTGTTCCTCCTCTTTCTGAGAAAACACCTATTCCTGCTCCTGTGACTGCCCGCATGGACCATGTTTGGCACTATGATGAAGAATATCTTCCAGACGCTTCAAAGCCTGTGTCAGCTAGTTCTCCAGAACATGTTGATGGTGTTATTAGCAATGGATTTGTAGCTGTTAACTTAAGCTCCTGCAGGCAGGAGGTTGATTCTAAGGAATGGGTGATAATAGATAAGGAACGGGACTTGCAGGACTTCAGGACAAATGAGGCTTTAGGGCACAAAATGACTGGAAGTCCCTCAGATGAAGAGCCGGAGGTACTACAAGTTCTAGAGGAGTCCACTCCAGAAGAGCAACCCAGACAGGGTGGCTGGGCAGGAAACAGTGTCCATGCCAAGAACCAAACCTCAGGGGTGGAGTTTGTTCTAGCCATGGAGTGTCATCCTGCTGCTTCCGAACAGCTCACAGATAAATTGGAACTTCTGTCCGGAGCTGCTGGACAGCTTCTTGCAGCCACCCCTACAAGTCCTATGGAAGCTCAAGCAGAAGGAGCACTCACTCCGGTAAGAGAAGCAGTCGCTGATTTACTGAACCTCTCTTTATTCAGATTATATGAAGAGATAGTAAGGGAAAAGGCAGTGACTAAAAGGCAATAGTGTAGCAGAAATTCCTAGTTTCATCAGGTATGGGACTTGATTCTTGAGGAATGATCTTCCATGTTTTGTTATATGAGTGTTTACATTCTCCTATAGAAGTGGCTATTAGTTCTGCAGGTATGGTCCACATAACTGGCCTCAATAAAAACAAATTAAATATTTTTTTTTATATATATAAATATAAATAAAGAAGCTCCTCATGTAGTGATTCCTGATCAGTAAGAGATACACATAGAAATATTTATTTATTATATTTGCAGTACATAAACATAAAATTACAATGAATATGTAAAATGTTGTGCTACAACATTTCATGAGTTTCAGGAAAAGCCTGAATGGCTGAAATTAAAGAAACAGAGTTACTTGCTCTCACCATCATTGATGTAGTGTTTTCTTTTGGAAGTCCCTTTGTTTCTTCCTGTTTCTTCTGGAAATTTCTAATCGTTCTTATACAATTGGCTTTTATAAATTGTTGCTACTTCTCACTTCCAAGATAACTTTGCTACTGCTTTGCTCCCACAGTTTTCTCTTCACTAAGACAGATTGCTTTGCTTCCATTGCATCCTCCTCTTTTTGTGTCTAACGAATTCTCATTTGCACAGTTTCTGAACATTTACTTTTTTTCTCCTCTGTCACTGATTTTTTGAGCCAAGAAACCTGGCTGTACTTCTCCCTATCACCACTTTTTGTGAAAGTTAGAGCCAGATGCTTGGAAAAAAGAAACTTGTCACCAATCATTCATTTATTATAAGGTGTGGAATATCCTTTATGGTGAAAATGAACTACTCAATGTAATTAACTATAGCTCTGTAGTAAAATTTCCAATACACCTACGTTCTCTTGGAAAATGCAAAATCATATCTTTCATACAAGATTATATTTAGATATCATACTTTGAGAATTATGTAGTTTATAGAAGATTCATTTTGCATGATACAAAATACAGAACTGTGTTAAACAGCAGATTTTTGAGATTTAATTTGAAAATTAGTTGCATGGAAGAGTTTTTGATGGGTTAAAAACTTGTAAAGGTGAAAAGTTAATTTAAATTGCTCAGTTGTTTTCAGTTGGTCAATTTTTGTATTTTAATGATACTCTTAGTTAAACAGACAAGAAAGAGCAAGACTTAGTCATGTACAAGATACTAATTATCAGGTGGTTTTATCTCAAAAGCTATTAAAATCTAACTTGCAATTTTGTATGCAAATACACTATCCCACTTTATACAAACTTGTCTCTTTTTGGGGAAATAGCTATTTTACTTAAACTTGAAAGTTGAGGTGTTAAAATATCACGTACTACAGTGCAAATAATGGACAATGCCTTTATCTGGAAAGGAAGAAGCTTCAGAGCAGGGGAGCAGAAATAGTTATAAACAAGGTCAATTAGTTATGTTAGTATTGGAAGAAATACTGGTTGAAGTAGACACTGGGGTGAGATTATATTTTAGTTTGTCTGTGCAAAAATAATTGTCATGACATAAAAAATGGGGGGAATTTATATGGTTTGTATTATCCTGGAAGGGCAGGTAGTGCTGTGAGGGCAAGATGAACAACAAGAAGGAACTTGCTCTCTTGAAGGTGAATCATGTGGAATTTAAAATATAAGCTGAGCTGAGAATAAAGAAAATAGAAATTATTGTGGTGATTTAGAAACTCAGAACAGAGTGTCTCTATGCAGTCTGTCTATTCCAACTATGATGGCAATTTTGGTAGCCCTCCATCTACTTCATCAGCCCTTGAAAGCAAAACAAAGCCCAGGAGGATATTTGAGGGTAAGTTGTTTTTTCTGTCCTTCATTGATGGTGTTCCACTTCATAAAAGATACATTACTTGAGGTGGGTACTGGAACCCAGCTGTTCTTATAGGTGAGTGTCCTAGTCACTTCACAAGGAGAGAGTATATATATACACCTCTTCATACAGTAGTTCTCTCTATTCCAGAGTCCTTAGCTTCTTAAGGAGCTGTTTGGTAGAGTCCTTTTCCTTCTTCCTCAAAGCATTTACCCACTTGAAACTGTTCTTTGAATGTCATCCTTGTTTGTGGATCAGATGTTCTTGTTCTTTAGTAATTTTATCTAGGTAGTGCCTTCCTGACAATAGAAATAATGGGCAAAGGGTCATATTTTACTTTTCTGCTGATTTAATTGTATTGCACCAGATACTAAGAGCAGGCTTGGATCCAAGAATGTAAGTACAGGACCATAAATCAAATGACTTAAGTGTTACTAAAAGGGGTTAAAAATAGATGTTGACATTATAGTAGTACAATAGCTTATATAACTTCTGAAATGGTTTACTCATTTCAAATGGCTTGAAACTAGGATATGTCAGCCTTCACGATCATTGTGCTTAGGAATATACCTCCCATACGGATTTCTAGTGACCTGCTTCACTATCACTTAGGAGAAAGAATGATGAATTATGTTCTTTGAGCTTATTCTGATAGGCTTGTTAAATATGCAAGCAATTACTTCAGTGGTGAATGAATAAAATAGTTTTCCTGGTTTATGTATTTTTTTATTATTCGTTTTTACTTTGATGATTCTTCTTTATTCTTCATTTCTTTCAGGGCGTTATTGCTCACTATTTAAGTAGTAAGTAGTAGTAAAGATGTTTCTGTATGAGAAACTAAAGGTTCATATACTCACACATAATTTTATTTTATCCTGAAGGAAAGTAATTGCTGGCCTGCGGTCCTTCCATTTGTAGATACATGTTCTTCCTAAAATTATGTGTGTACATGTAATTGATGATAATATAATTTCTGTTTCACACAGCATCAGCATTCTAATAAGAATGTAAAGCTGTAGCAGTTCAGGAGAGGAAAGGAAGGAAACCTGAACTCTTAAGAGAGAAAAATGTGTAAATTATTGGCTTGGGGATGAGCAAGTTTCAGGCATAAAAAATTACAGCAAATTATGCTATCTATTATGAAAAAAACTTGCAGGAAAGAGAACTCATTTTCATGTCATGTCATGGTTTTCCAGTTGCAATACAGATTCTGTGTTTTACCAGCAAATACCCGTTTGATCTGGTTTGGTCATGGGCACATGGTCACATTTCTGCTGAACTGGTCAGAACATACTAGGGTATATATACTGACTGTGTACTTTCATAATGGCTTTATGTTGACTTTGGCTGCTGGAGGGCAGATGGTACCTGATTTGCTGTAATATCTGCTGGTATGAAGTTAATCTGGCAAAAGAATTTGCACTGGTCTATACTAATGGTGAATTTATACTGGAGCAGCACTTTGCCTCATACAACTCTAGTTTTCTTTTCCTTGAGCTGGTACCAAGAGCATAAAGCTGGACTTGCTGTGTTGTTGAACCATGGCCTTATTAATTTACTGTGTTTGTGTTGAATTGCAGTGAACTCCATACTGTGCATGCACAAAAGTTTGCAACATATATTTGTCAAGCAGATATTTCAGCAAATAAATAATAATGGAGTTGAAGTAACTGAATATGTAACAGCTAATTCCATTTTCATCTTCAGTTTAAATTAAACAACAGTTTTCTGTGGTCATATATGGTTGACAACCTAATACCACACACACACACACGTGTGTGTGTATGGTTATAGAAAGGTTGGACTGTGTGAATCTATTTATTTTTATTAATTAGTAATATTGCTGAAATTAGCATTTTGTATGTTGAGGAGCTATTAAGTTTTATCAAAAACCTGTGCTTAAATTTCCATTTATTTCTGAGTTCTAAATTGTTTAATTTTCATGTACCTTCTCTCCTCAGTTGCTGCTTTACGAGACACTGGAAATACTTTTTTTTTTTTTTCCAGTTTAGAGACAGCTATGTATTATGGGAACTGCAGCTTTAGGTTTGACACTATTGAAAATACCTTTTCCTTGGAAACTGAAATGCTTGATATATGCTCTTTTTTTTCCAAGTAATACAGGTTAGAATTGTAAATACTATGATAGGAAACCTTCATAAAGGTTGCAAAAAGTTTCCATATCTATGCTTTTCATGATTTTGTATAAATATACTTGGAACAAAGAATTGCAAACCGTCTGTAGCAATCTCATTTACAGGTATGTAGATGTGTCACCATCAGATATTTTTTCAGTGCTGCAAAAGGTCTTCCAAAGAATCAGTTGACTTCAGAGTTGTATGTCAAGGCTATAGGTTTATAGGTTTATTAGAATCATCAATAACCACTTTGAAAATGTACTTTCTCTAAAATTATTCATTTGGAACACCTTGACCTTACAGTTCCTGGTTTGTTTTGGTTTTTGTGGTGGTTTTTTGGGGGGGGGGTTTTGTTTTTTTTAATTCTCTTTTCTAAATGCTTCAGTGATGTAGTTTAAGATGAAGCAATTGTTCATGGATTCTCCAGGACAGTGTATCCTTCTAGTTCAATTCCATATTTCGGAAATTTCATCAAAATTGTTTAGTACTAATCTTACTGATTAATCCTGTCAGCTACGGTTCTTAATATACGCTGCTACAGCTGTAGTTGGGCAGTCACATTTGTAAAGCCTACAATGGGTGTATATGCTAAAAATATAGTCATCTCAGAAAACAGCGTTGTTTCAGGGATGTGCTAAGCATTTGCAAGGACCAGTCAACAGTCAACTAGTTCGTGTACGCAGTGTCCTTGAAACAGACTGCATTAGTTTATTAAACTTGCCCTAGATTGTTGCTGACTGACTGAAGGTAGGAGCCAGCTAGAGATGTGGATATGGTGTTCTAAGAAAATGCATGTAGGCAAGACATAAACAAGAATTATTAAAATACTGATTTTTAAACCTTATTTTTTTCCCCTACCATGTTGTTCTCACAGCTCAACTCATCTCATATGCTGCATTTCTCCACTCCAAGAATTTCAAGTCCCATCCTCCGCACCATGAGCCCTATAGCCTATCTATCCATCCACTCGGACCCTTTGAAAGAGGCAGGTTTACCAAGGAGTCAATCAGCTGAGAGCCACTCCTCTTCCTCCCGCTCAACTGGTCGTAGGCAGCTTCCTGTCATTCCCTGTGGCAACAAGTTTCCCCCTGTCATTCGCATCTCAAAAGCACAACTTCAGCAGGTGAATAAGCCTTGTCTTCATAAAAGTGACTGCATTGTAGCAGTCATCTGCAAAGTTTATAACATTTTCAGTTGCTCTGCATAGTCTGGTAGTAGGCATATGCTAGTCATACTGCTATAGACAACATCCTAAAAAATATTTTGGAGCTGTTATTCAGGTTATGATCTGGAGCACTAAGCATCTCTGTAAGATAGACTCACTTTGTCAGAATGATTTTCTCTTTAAAAAGGTAGGATTATAAAATCTAGAAAACAGATTTTTGCTTCTTTCAAAACTAAGATTAAAATATCTCTTTTTAATGTGTTCCTGCAATCAGTACCAGGTGGATTTTTAATTTGGAACACATATTAAAATTTAGACTACCGTAAATTATTTTAGTATGAGAAAAAGGGATCTAGAAATAGTGAAATTGCTACTTTGGGAATGAACAAATAATGAATTGTTCCACTGCTTTCAGTGTACAAAGCAAAGATCGGAATTATCAGGGATGTAGCAAATGGAAAATGTCACTAGGGAAAGGAGACTTTTCATAGTTTTGTATTCCCAGTTTCATTTCAATTTGAAAAAGATGAAGGCTTAGAATCATAATTGAAGTTAACCATAATTTGTGTATTAGTGATAAAAATATTGAGATTTCCTAAGCAGCATGAGCTTACATTGACTGGTAAAGTAGTATGACATAGCATTAATGCATAAGACCATAACATATCATCATCATTTTACCATTAATATTTCATTTGGATTATATTCTCTGTTGCCTTTTATTTCCAATGTATTTCTCAGTATAAATATTTCTGTGAGAAAGACTTATTATTTTTTTTTCAGTGCAGTATGCACAGGCGTATTGATATTAAACGTAATCCATCAATATTAGCATCTTTTAAACTTCCATAGGATCAGTGGTGAGTGATAACAAGGCAAACAATGTTGCTAATGTACTTACGTCAGCATTTTTTCTGTTAACTCAAAACCCAATCTTTTTTCCCTGCAACTCCTGGCTGCTTTTTATCTGAATATATATTAAAAAAAAATAGTTCTGTCCTTGATATATGGAAATGAACAAACAGTAGCTGCCAGATGTTCATTATTGTGAACTTGATGGGATACCAAAATACGACATTCTTCATGATGACTGACATATTGACTAGGGAAAAGGACTTAGGAGAAATGAATTCATTAAAAGTTAAGCTTCAGTATTTTTCAGGATTAGTTTGTATCCCAGGACACAAAATGACCTATTTTTTTTTTTTTTCTGTATATCCATGATTTAAATTTTCCAATCAGAATATATTGCAGATATAAGTAAAAAACTGCTCAAAATACTCAAAGCAAGTAGGTTTACATAAAGGGTCTTCTCTAGCTTCCTTAGGACCCCCAAATGAATACAGCTGCAATATTAACAGGGGCTGCAAATTTATATTCTTACTTGCCACGTTGAAAAGAATTGGTATTGTGCCAGGTGCTGATACTGAGTGGAGTGAGGAATATATGTAGCATTCTCAGCCTCTTCTTTCTTTTTACCTGGTAAGTTCATGACTGCTGTGATTTTGAAAGTCCTAACTCTGCTGGGAATTTAACTTCCAGTTTTTCATTTGATATGGAAACTACAAGCAAATGTAGAATGATTCTTTACTTCATTCCAACAATGAAGGTCTTGTGTACTTTATTGGCCCCCTGAAGAACTGAAACACACTTGCAAGTCTCCCTCTTTGCTACAGCGCAGTAATGATAGGTGCTTAGCAAGCTGGAAGTTCCAGCAGCATGAAAGCTGAATGTGTGTGGTAATAACCTAAAGCTTTTCTCCAGTTAAATATTGAAAAAAAATTAAAGTCATTCTATATTATTCTGTATAAATATTTTGTATTGAATGTATTTCCATATATTTTCTGGTGAAATTTGGTTCAGCATTCATAACTAATGGATTGCTGAGGTGAGGGATTGTGCTGTTGAATTTAGTTTCACGTATTAAAAAATAAAAAATGATACATTTGTTCCTGAAATCAAGAAAAGGGATTTTCTTTCCTGATTGTTGTTGAGTGAGGGTTCAGGAACTGTAACTGTAACCTACCTTCCTCTAGTTTGACATCAGATAGAGGAGGTAATGAAATTTCTGTATATCTTCTGCTCACTAGTGCAGAGAGGGTGTAGAATGTAGACCTACCTTTATTTGTTCAATAAAGAGAACTTCTCTCTTGCCGTATGTATATTATTGAAGAGAACTGGAGTATTTTGCTTCAGCTCTCCTTAGTTATTCAGTGTGCAGCATAAAGAAAGAGTCTGGCATCATTAGAGCTGACAAAAAACAGAGTAAATTCTTTGACTGTACTTGACTCTGAAGAGTAGGGCTAGAGTGCTATTAGCATCCTTTTCTTCCATAGCATGGTTAAATTGTACAGCGAATCCTTTTGAAATGTAACCTTTTTCTTCCTTTCTGTGAATTTTTCAGACAGGTAAGTTTTCTGAACTCTGCTCATTACAGGATGGTGTAGAGTGTTGTGTGAGGTCAATGGAAAAGGTAATGTGAGTGCAGCAACTACTGGTCAGGGCAGTCTATGAAGATTGCTTTAGTAGACAGTGTGCAAAATGTATAACCGTGTCTTGAGAAACAATCAAAATCAGCAACCTCAGATTTTTATATCTCTATAGTTTCTTAGCTCTTGTTCTTCAATAGGATAGTGAACACCTCTTCTGGCTATGGCAGCCATCCAGAAAACTTCTAAACTGGCTGCTCTACAATAGGATTCAGACCTTAACCAAGATGGATTCCAGTTGTGTGTTATTCTGGTATATTTTCATTTTTGGATGTGCTTAATGAGACATGTACAAAGGGTCTAATTTTAATTTAATGATTTTGTGGTTATTCATTGTGTTAGGGAAGGATTATCTGTGTCTCTCAAGTTAAGCAATCAGAATTAGTTGGCACTTTTACAAATATTTTCTCTTATGTCTTTATTATCTAAAATTTCTACCTTACGGGAACATTTTAAAAATTATTTAATAGTTATATAGTTATATTATTCATTACAAAATGTTCTGAAACCTTCCCACACAAGATGCTATGGGAATGCAAACCATCATACTCATATTCGTATGGAAGATGAGAAATAATATACTGATCTGAGTTGAAAAAATTACCTTAATTTTTAAGCATCTCACTGGAATTCAGGGACCTGTGGAAGAATAAGGTAAGACTTCTTGACATGTTCGAGGGGCATTTAGAGAAAGAATGCATATCCCTTATAATTGTCATTTTATTTTGGATGTTTTATGTTTATGAGCCAGGTGTGCACATAAATGTTGTAAATTTTGACACTTTTTGTGAAATAATTTTGGCTTGTTTCATTAGTCTGCCATAGCAAGAGATGAATGTTTATATTGGTTTTCACATTTAATGATCCTTTTCAGAACCACAAATAAACAAAACCCCAGAGATGCTCCTCTTCTGTTACAGTGTTCTTTTAAAAATATTTTTAATTTGACAGTGGCATTAACTTGAAACTGTCAGGTGCATTAGGGTTGTCTTAGAAGTCAGCGAGTTAAAACTCTGGTTTAGCGTTGTACCTATCCATTAAAGATGTCAGGAATTGATATATTTCTTCAAAATCCTCTTCAGAATTTCAGTTTCAAGACATGGTACATTATCAAATAGATGTGTCCTGGAAGGAAAAGAGGGAAGAGCTTTTCTCTGTTCATCAAGTCTGGTTTTTTCCTGCTGCCATGGTTAAAATTGGCTGTAGCAAAAGGATTCTAATTTCAGGGTTTACATAATTGTTATCACAGAATCGTAGTGGCTGGAAAAGCCCTTTAAGATCATTGAGTCCAACCATAAACCCAACACTACCAATTCCACCTATAACCCATGTCCCTCAGCACTATGTCTACATGACTCTTCAATCCCTCCAGGGATGGGGACTCCACCACTGGCCTGAGCAACCCGTTCCAATGCCTCAGAACCCTTTCAGGAAAGAAATTCTTCCTCAGATCCAATCTCAGCTGCCCTTGGCACAACTTGAGGCCATTTACTCTTCTTCTATCACTTGTTCCTTGGTTGAATAGACTGACCCCCCACCTCTCTACACCCTCCTTTCAGGCAGCTGTAGAGTGCAAGAAGGACTCCCCTCAGCTTACTTTTCTCCAGGCTCAACAACCCCAGTTCCCTCAGCCGCTCCTCATCACACTTGTGCTCCAGACCCTTCACCAGCTTCATTGCCCTTCTCTGGACACACTCCAGCACCTCCTTGTCCTTCTTCTCTACATCAGCATGAAGTTTAAGTTAGGTTTTTCTCAAAAGGCTGCTAATACCATTTACAATGTTGAGTTTAATCAAAGTAGAAATTTCAAGGAGTTAGTCCAGCTCGTGGCTACTGGAACTGTTTCATACACAGTAGATTTGATTTTGTTAAGTAGGGAAAATGTGCAGAAGTTCATGACAGGGTAGCTGTTAATTGATAATTTTTCAATGAAAATTAAGTTGCAGTGATGTTACAGCATTCACTCATCATCAGTGAAAGTAAGTGTTTGATAATGTTTACGGCCAGATTCAAAGGCAAGCTCAGATTCTGAATTCTTACTGTTTTCAGTTGTTACTGCTAGGTTCTTGAAAGGCAGTAGACATATGATCACTGCTACAGTGTCATTATTTTCTTCATTAGTAAGTTTCTCTGGAGTACATTGATTTTTCATACAAAATCACATAGGATGAGGAATACTGGGTAGCATTATTTTAGAATAAAAAAGAGGATGTCTGGAAGATGCACATAAGCTTACAAGTTACTCCCATTCTTTTAAGCAACTGGATTTTATATTGATAATGAAATTTCTTTAACAGTTTTAATCTACACACTCTCTATTGCAAAGAGATAAAAAAATTTACTTGTTGCTTTTATCCAAGTGGCAGAGGCAATTGCTTGGTATGTAGAAATCTAAATGCAAACCTCCAAGGCTTAGTAGGGTCTTTTTGTCTGAAGGAGAGAAATTCTTCAGGCCGGCTTTTTTCACAGCTGCCTTTGGTGTAGGAAAAAACCCCTATAAAAAGTTATTGTTTTAAATATGTGTGTTTTCTGGAATCCAGAGTACTTTTTCCCAAAATTCACAACCTCGTGGTTCATCTATTCTTTTCTGTCCTTGAGAAAAGGGAGCAGTCTGAAGACTGAGTTGTATATAATGATATATTTCAAATAACTGAATCATAGAATAGTTTGGGTTGGAAAGACCTTTAAAGGTCATCTAGTCCAACCCCCCTGCAGTGAATAGGGACATCAGGTTGCTCAGAGCCCTGGCCAACGTGACTGCAAATGTTCCCAGGGATAGGGCTTCTACCACCTCTCTGGGGAACCTGTTCCAGTGTTTCACCACCCTCATTGTAAAAAATTTCTTCCTTGTATCTAGTCTGAAACTCCCCTCTTTTTAGTTCAAAATCATTATCCCTTGTTCTATCACTACAGGCCCTACTAAAAAGGCTGTTCTTTTAAGCCCCCTCTAAGTATTTAAAGGCTGCAATAAGGTCTCCCTAAAGCCTTCTCTTCTCCAGGCTGAACAACCCAAACTCTCTCAGCCTTTCCTTGTTTGAGAGGTGCTCCATCCCTCTGATAATTTTTGTGGCCCTCCTCTGGACTCACTTCAACAGATCCATGTCTTTCTTGTGCTGAGGACTCCAGAGCTGGATGCAGTACTCCAGTTGGAGTCTCACCAGAGCTGAGCAGAGGGGCAGAATCATCTCTCTTGATGTGCTGGCCACACTTCTTTTGATGAAGCCCAGGATGTGGTTTGCCTTCGGGGTTGCAGATGCACATTGGTGGCATCCAGTACTACCCCCAAGTCCTTTTCCTCAGGGCTGCTTTCCAGCACATCATCTCCTAGCCTGTATAGATAATGAGGATTGTTCTGACCCAGGTGCAGGACCCTGCACTTGGCCTTGTTGAGGTTCACCTGGGCCCACTTCTCCAGCCTGTCCAGGTCCCTCTGGATGGCATCCTGTCCCTCTGGCACATTGACTGCACCACCCAGCTTGGTATCGTCAGTGAACTTGCTGAGGGTGCACTCAATCCTACTGTCAGTCTCATCCCAAACATACATGATTTAGTATGTTTTTCTAGCATCAAAATTGCATTAGCATGGAATAAGTAAAGATATTTCAGGAAAGCTGAACACTCTGTGGGAGTGCTGATCAACTCTGGTGTCAACAATTGTTTCCATGATTACAATTCATACAATAGTCTTCTTGAAATAAATAGGTGGTTACAATTCAGAGCATAATACCCAAGAACTAATGATGATTTCTCATGTAATTAAGGTATAATTGATCTAATTAGTATAATGAATATTGTGTGTATATATATATAATTGCAGATACTATCTATAATATCACCCACAAGATAATCTTTAATTAAGATATATTTCTGTCCTAAAATCCTTTATCTGCCACCATTAAAATTGCATATGATACTAGTGCAACTGGAATTACAGAAAAAAAATTAAAATTGCTATTTGGAGTTTGTGAATTTATCAGCATCTTAGCAGTTTCTCCTGGTTAGATAGATCTGTCATATGGAAGGAAGAGAGAACTTTTTAAAATAGGCAAAATAGGGAAACCACTAAAATTAGGACAAGCGCTAAGTGGAGATCTCTAATACTTCTAGGCTACCACTATGTAATTTTCGAAAACCGGTTAGGTTTCAAACTATTATTAAAATTTCTAGTATTTGGCAATTCTACACTATTGCTGTACATGAACCACAGGCAGATGTGTTTACTTGCTACCTAGCTACAACTGTATAGCTGCCCTGACTGCTTTCAGGCAGCTTCTAAACACAGACCATGGCTCATGTAGAGAGCTCACAAACTGGCTAAAATGATGCTAGCTTATTGATATATCTAATCTTAATAATACCAGGCTGGCAACCAAATCAGAATCAAAACAGATTCAGATAGTACCCTTGTAAGCATTTTTAAGGAGCTTAAATACCTAACTGGCAGCATGTATTATACTGTAGATCACTTGAGTGCTTGGATGGAATCAGCTGTGTTGCAGCTACTTCATGCAGCTGTGTGTGATTTATCATCACTCCTGTTCACAGTGGCAAAACTGTGTGACATAACAGGCTGCCGAAAGTTGCAGGTATTTTGTTTTAATTTAAAAGGTAAACTGGATTCTCGCCGCATCTTTGTGTCTGTAAACTTTGTGATTATAACACCTTGTGTGCAGAGGAGAGAATATATCAAAACACATTGTAAGAAAAGAGAAAGACCCTTAGTATAGGTAAGACTCCTATCTCTAGGTCTGTCTTCTTTAAAGGATATCTGTTAAGCATGCTTATAAGCAAACTGAAAGCAGCTCATTCTTTATGTGAATTACAACTACTGCTAGTAATAGTGCACTACTACTACTAGTGGACATGAGAAAACTCATAATGCTTTCAAACAGATCCTGACAATGCTGAGGAGAGATTTT